GATGTGGAGAGTTTTAAGTGCCAAATAGGAGTTTGTATTTGATCCTAGAGGTAATAAGAGCCACTGGAGTTTATGGAATAGATCAGTGACATGGCCAGTCTTGTGCTTCAGCAATATTATTTTGGCAGTGGTTTAGAGAATGGATTGGAGAAGGAGAAGCTGCTATTCCGCCCTCCTCCCCTCACCAAATCTATCATCTGGTGGTTAGTGATATTGGTTATCTTGTGGTAATGAGCTTCTCCAAACAGCTAGACTGAGTCCTTGGAAAATAAGCGTACACTCCATTGCTACACTTGTACTCAAAGCTTTTTGAGATTGGCAGGACATTCCAGAGACTCTGGTTAGCTGGCATAACTTTTGAGATTCCAGGGTGCCTTCCATGCTATAATGAGACATAAATACATAAAAAAGACCCAGTTTGAAAATAAAGCATCATAAAGATTGGGGTCAAAGTCTACCTGTAAACAGGAAAGCAGTTTGAGAATAGAATCCTTTTAAAACTGGAAAAGAGTATGGCAGAAACTAGGCATAGACCCAAATCTCACATGATATACCAAAATAAATTATATCCAAGTCATGAACATAATGGCTGATACTATAAGTAAACTGGGAGAACAAGGAATAGTTTACCTATCAGATCTATGGAGAACAGAAGAATTCATGACCAAACAGGAGATAGAGAACATTATGAAAAGCAAAATGGATAATTTTGATTACATTAAATTGAGAAATTTTTGCACAAAGCCAATGCAACTAAGATTAGAAGGAAGGTAGAAAATTGGGAAAGAATTTTTACAACCAGTCTCTCTGATAAAGGCCTCATTTCTAAAATATATAGAGAATTAAGACAAATTTATAAGAATTCAAGCCATTCCCCAATTGATAAATCGTCACGGATATGAACAGACAGTTCTCAGATGAAGAAATTAAAGCCATCTATAGTCATATGAAAAAATGCTCTAAATCATTATTGATTAGAGAAATGCAAATCAAAACAAGTCTGAGGTACCACATCACACCTATCAGATTGGCCAACATGACAAAACAGGAAAATGATAAATGTTGGAGATATGGGAAAATTAGAACACTAATGCTTTGTTGGTGGAGTTGTGAAATGATCCAACCATTTTGGAGAACAATTTGGAACTATGCCCAAATGGCTATAAAAATATGTATACCCTTTGATCCAGCAATAGCACTTCTAGGGCTATATCCCAAAGAGATCATACAAATGGGAAAAGGACCCACGTGCACAAAAATACTCATAGCAGCTCTTTTTGTGGTGGCAAAGAATTGGAAATTGAGAGGATGCCTATCAACTGGGGAATGGCTGAGCAAGTTGTGGTATATGAAGGTAATGAAATACTATTGTGCTATAAGAAATAATGAAGAGGCTGACTTCAGAAAAACCTGGAAAGACTTGTATGGTCTGATGCTGAGGGAAGTGAGCAGAACCAAAAAGAACTTTGTACACAATAACAGCCACATTGTATGATGACTAATATTGATAAACTTAACCCTTCTCAGCATTACAAGGATCTAAGACATCTCCTGAGGTCTCATGATGGAAAATGCTATCTACATCCAAAGAAAGAACTATGGAAGTTGAATCGTTATCATTTTTTTCCCTCTTCTGTTGAGTTTCGTTTCCTTTTTCTGATGGTTCCTCCTATTGGTTTTAATTTTTACTTACAACTTCACTAACGTGAAAATGTTTTTTTTTTGAGCATGAGATTTTTAAAATGCATTTCTTAAATGACAGTTAAAGAAATATAAATTTTATGATCAATCTTTATGATATAATTGTTATTTAATAGTATCATTTCCAACATTTGACTGGCTTCTTTTGTTTCAGCTTTTGCTTTCTTCAATTAATTAAATTTTCTGAAGGATGGATGGCATTTTGGATGTCATTCCAGAAATCAGAGACTTCAACTGTCTTTGCTTGTGTCTTGGATTTGTTTCACAATACACAAACCATCGTCCACGCCTTTTCACAAAATAACAGTCCTTGCAGCACCTCTTTAGAAGACCTTTTGTTTTGAACCCAAGAGCAGGTTGAAAGGCTGGAAGCAGGGAACGTGAAAGAAATGGCTGAATTTTTGAGCTATACTTCATGGGACCTGCATCTATGGGAAATGTACTTTGTCGTGAGGCAAAGAAGAATGAGGAGATTGAGGAAGGTTTTGCTAAACATTTGCTCATTTGGAAAAGAGGGCTGCTGATGGTAAACATCATTTTCTTTAGAAACAGAGATGCCATGTTTTAGCCAAACCTGGTGCGGGGTGGGAGGGGTGGTGGATGTGAGAGGTCCCCACAGCGCCCTCCTCGCGGGCTCACTGCTACCGAGGCAGGAGCAAAGAGCCGTAGCCCTGAAAATATGTTTAATAGGAATGTAAGTGCCTATATCAGATTGTGCACCGTCTTGGGGAGGGTGGTGGGGAGGAAGGGACAGAAAAATTTTAAACTCAAAAGCATATGGAAATGATTGTTGATAAATCAAAATAAATTGATAAAATTAAAAAAAAACATAAAAAAGTAGAAAACCCTAAGAAAAAAAGAATAGAATCCTTTTTTAAAATGATTATACAGAAATAATATTTTGTAGTCTTGGAATAAAGATGTTAAATATATGAAAATGAAACTATATATATATATATGTCAACTTTATCACATTGATGCAGGTTAAGTTCTTTGTGAATTAGGTTTTCATTTTCTGGACTTCCTAGTACATTTTTCCTATAGTATATTCTGTAATTCTTGTCCTAAGAATCATAGTATATTGGATCCAGAAGTTATCTAATAGTCCAACTCCATTACACAGATGAAGAAACTGAAGTTCAATAGTTCTAATGACTTGCCCAAGGTCATATGGTATAGTTGTTGTTGTTCATCCTTTGTTCTTGGAAGACCAATGACATCATGAAGGTGATCTCTTGACTTTCGAATGAATTAGATTTAAATGAGGCAGAACTTCACAAAGTTGTCTGCCTACTTTCTCCTCCAGAGTGATCGAAGTCCAGTGGCAAGACAAAAGTCAGGATAACTGTCGATGGCCCAGGATGCAGTGAATGACGTTATCCATATTTTTGATTTAAAGAAGTCTGAGACTGAAGGAGAAAGGAGTTTCAGTACAGCTCTTCTGGTGTTAAACCTGTTAAAAAAAAAAGCTAGAAGTTGTTCATTGAACCCTGTAATTTTAGAGCTAAAAGGAACATTGGAGATATCATCTCCATCTAACACTTTGCCTTTACAGATGAGGAAACTGAGTCCCAGAAAAGTTAAGCCAGATGGTGCTTAGGGCCATACAAATAATTTAGTGGTACACCAACCAAGATATATTTTTTTTAACTTTAGTGCCATTTCCACTATACCATATTGCCTCAACTATCTTCCTTCTGTATTCATTTAACAATCTTTTTTGTCAGTTACATTTATTGAGCATGAACTTTGTGCTGATCATTGCAGTAACATCTGCTTGGTTAAACCTTTAGCACACAATATAGCCTATGTATCTGTAAAAATTAATCTCTTCAGTGCACCAGTGGGACAGATGTTTATTCATATTACAATAGCACTTGAGCAGAAGCCAACTGAATAGGGTACTTATTCAAGTGCAAAGCTTTCATTCTTACCACCTCCTTATTTAGTAGACAGGTGGCATAACTCATTTTTATGCATTCTAATCAGTATTATTTAGTAAGAGCTTAAAAAGAACTACAACTAAACCAAAAACAACCCCCATCATTCCATCACAAGATACTATTGAAACACTGTGTAGGTAACCTTTAGTTAAAGGGTCAGAAAAACATTATGCTACTTAATGTTGCTGATGGTAAGTCATCCCTTGATCAAAGGCCAGTCCCGCTGCCCTTATGCTCTGATACCCTATGCACTGCTTTTTTTTTTTAAAGGTGCACAATTTTTGGCAGTCAGCATGAAAAAAGGAGCAGACTAGGAAGTAATTCCGTGTCCTCCTAATTTTCCTTAGTGAAGAAATGGGAATATTCCCTGAGGCTACTGACTGCACTCCGTCGGTGTTCAGGTGCCAAGTTTCTCAGGTATATGTGTGTGTGCACGGTTGTGACTGTGAAGGCAGACTGAGCTGTATATAGGTGGTGTGGTTGTAGGGGTGTGTGCCTGAGGGTGTGGGGACCCCATGAACTTGGATAGGTTTGCCTTTTAGCGTGACAGAGGGGGGCTGAGTGGGACAGAAAACGATCTTGACGATGGTGGTGTGTGACACTGTATGAGTGTGTCAGAGCGAGGTGGTGTGTACGTAACTCGCGCGCGCGCGCGCGCGCGTGTGTGTGGTAGACGAGCGTGTGTGGGACCGCCTGTGCTTTCGCGCGCGCTTTTTTCCCTCGGGTGGCCAGTGCGCGCGGGTGGACGGGGAGTCCTCCATTGAATTCGATGCTTCCTTTCTGCTTCTTAAAGCCCTCGAGAGCCTCGGGTTCTGGGCCCGCCGATTGCACAGGAAGCCGAGGAGGAGACTGATGGTTTCCTCTGGGGGAGGGGGGTAGTGGGGAAAGGGGACTATGTGTTTCTGACCCTCGCTCAGCCACACGAGGCCAAGTGCGACGCTCCGCCTCCCCAGGTCGCCAGGCCCACGCCCTCTCTCGGAATTGTCCAATAAGAGAGAAGCGAAGGGGCCCCGCCCCGCATCTTGCCCCGCCCCCTCGTGGGGGGAGGGGCGGGCGCTCTATTAGAGGACTGGCACTAGGGCGCAGAGGTTCTGGAGCAGATAGCTTGGGGAAGCATGGGGGGGCCTGTCCAGCACTCAGGGCTGGAACCCTGAGGAGCACGAGTCCGGAGAGCCGCCCTCGAGCCTGCGCTCGCGCCACCCTCGTCTGCCTTCTCTTCGTCTCCCCTCCTCTCGGTCCCCTCTGCCTTTACCTTGGCCTTTGCTCGCCTGCGGCAAGGTCCCGAGCGTTCCGGCCGACCGCCCAGCTCGCCTGAGCTCGCGCCTCCCCACGCGCCCGAGCCGCGGGGGAGGAAGGGAGGGAAGGCGCTCGCGGGGGGGAGGGGGGTGGGGAAAGGAGGGTCTCAGTCTTGCTGGAGCGATGATGCGGGCCCAAGAGGAGCCCTCCCCGGGGCACGGGATGAAGCCCAGCCCCCAGCCTCAGGGAGCCGTCTACTCCCAGCCCGCCGAGGGACCGGAGGTGCCTGCGGACAAGGACGTGACGGGGTCCCCAAGCCGGGCCATGCCCGAGCCCCCCGAGGGCGGCTGGGGCTGGGTCGTGATGCTGGCGGCCATGTGGTGCAACGGATCGGTGTTCGGCATCCAGAACGCGTGCGGGGTGCTCTTCGTGTCCATGCTGGAGACCTTTGATTCCAAAGACAACAAGGCGATGGTATTCAAGACAGGTGAGGTGCCGCACCGGAATCTGCCCGCCGTTCGTGCCCGGCCCCGCAGCCAGCAGAATGATCTCATCACACGTGTGTGAGTGTGTGTGTGTGTGTGTGTGTGTGTGTGTGTGTGTGTATGTGTATGTGTGTGTGGTGGATGGGGGGGTCTTTGTATGTATTTTTTGCCTTAATCTTTATAGTTTTTCCCAATTGACTTTAATAACTGCCTTCTGGATACATAAGTGGAGTAGTGCAGAAATAAGATAAAGTGTCTTGGCATTAAGGTTAACCTGGAATCTGTCATCCTGAAATAGCAATAGCATGGTGGTGTTCTAAGAGTTATGCATAGGTCCTGAAACAGCAAAAGTCCCTGTTTACTAATTAAAAAATAGTTACAGTATATCCAGAGGCAAATGTGCATGTAAAATTAGGAATGTTTTATGCAAGAATGATCTATCCTTTTTTTCCCCTCTCTCTTTTAAAAAATTTCTTGGAAGTTCATTAAGAAAAAAGAGCAGAGGACAGATAAATAGCTGTGTGGGAAACTTGCAGGGCTGGAGTTTCCACATTATGCTAAAAGATGAGAGTATGCTAGAGCATTCTTTGGCTGGGGATCTCTAGGAGTTGAGTTACAGAGATTACAAGTGTAGCCAATGTGATAGCATTCAATCCAATAACCTTTTGTGGGAATCTTCCCTAACTCAGTTAAATAAAGTCCTCTCTCTTAAGGTAGCAGAATGTGCCTGGGGACTCCAGAGAGAGGGGTTTTGAATGCAGGTTCCTCCAGGAATAGGAGGATGGGGGAAGGATCCTGCTTTAGTCCTGCTTTAATCTCTTTGGCACCGCACCCCTTCCAGTTATGATCAACATTTACCTGTGAAATTTATTTTCTTTCATTCCCATTTGTGTACATATATATGAATACATATCATTCCTACAGACAAACTAGAAACCTAAATATTTACTGTTTATATGTTGTTATTTATGTGTTGGGACCTGTTTCTAGCCTAAATTGGACTCAGGTTTCATGAGGACAAGGATCTTGCCTTATGTTCTTCACTCTTGATCCATAAAAATTAGTGCAGTACCAGGCTTCATTTGTACAACTAGTAAATATTAATGTAATGCCAGAGGGGGAAAGTACTGGTTAAGCTCAGCAAGTCATGAAACAGAGCTAAAATGTAACTTCGAAGTCCGTTATTGTTAATGACATATTCCAAAGTATGTATTTCCTGGGGCACTTCACACATAGCAGTTAACTGAAAAGGTTTGAGGGTATGACCAATTTGAGTTTTGGAATATCTAGCCTTTTTCTTTTGAAAGTGTGATGCTGAGTTATTTCCAACTGAACATTTTTCTTTATTCAGTTACCTTTCAAATAATAATATCTAGCACAGAACTCAGTAAGTTTGCCTTGAATGTAAGGGTACAGATCTCACATTTAGGAGCTAGATGAAATTTTCAAACAGGAAAGAAATTTTTTTTTAGAAAGAAAAGGGAAGATAGCCTGTTTCCATGGGATATTTATTGGGGTTCCCAGCCTCGGGTAGAATGTGGTTTCTGTAGAGTATCCAAAGATCCTCTGGAAAGTCTTAAAAGACTTTCTGAGCACCTTTAGCCAGGATACTTCCAGGGTCATGTACTCAGCCAAGTCAGAGGCCTTGTAGCTTTTGCCTTTTCCTATTCCATATCTATCTTTTTCCCCTTACGTGCAGCAAAGTGATGATGAACTAGAGGGACGCTCCAATTAGTACCCATTGCTGGCTGCACAAAATGGTAATGGTTGGTGTTGTGGATGCTTTCTTTTCAAGTTATTGTGACAACAAACAGACACATAAGAACACATACACATGAAGAACAGAATGTGCTTCTGTAAATTTGAAACCCTAGGCAACCTGGGTGGTAAACTTTCTTTCTCAGTTATGTCACTTTTCTACCTCCCGGACATCTCTTCAGACAGTTGGGGACCTTTTGACCTTCCTCACAAACTCATTTCCCTAAAATAGTTTTCTACTGGGTTGCAAAGGACTATCGTTAGTTTAAGGTGTTAACCTCCCAGACCTATCTACATTTTAATAGGGTTCAGTCATATAATTACCATTTATTAAGCTAACTTCTGAGTCAGGACACGTGCTGGGGAGACAAAGAAAGGAAAAAACAAACAAGCCTTGATCCCTGTCCTCAGAGAGCTCACATTTTAATGGTTGAAATAACATGTAAAGAACTTTAATTTGTTGGACATATACATATATGCAGTGTTAATGCAATGTAATCTAAGAGGGTAGACACTTGCTGTGTGGGAAGTAGACACCAGAAATTGAGCTCCATCTTGAAGGAAGTAGGAGTGAGAAGTGAGTTCTTAAACTATTGCAGTTGAATGATGATGGGGAGTGGAGGATGGCAAGGGGAGAAAGGTGACACTGTCCACATAAGTGAGTAAGTACCCTGAAATCACCAGCAGCTTTCTTCACCTAATCTGTAAGGATAGTTTATTTTTTATTTCTTCAGCCTGTATTTCATTCACTACAAAGGTATTGGAAAAGGTAGGATCCCAAGTAGCAGAAAGTCAGAAGAACTATGTAAGTGAAAGGAGAGGCACTACAGTTATAGATACAAAACAGTCTGAACCCCAGCAGTTGCTGAAAAGATACTCTGTAACAAATGGGCTTCAAGCACCTTCACCTCCTTATTAGGAGTAAACTGAGCAAGAATAATTGAGAAGCAGTCTAAGATAATGTGTAGAATCTTGGACTTGGCACCAAGAGACCAGGGTTCCCAATTTTTATTTCCTAGGTGCCTGATCATAGTAAAGGTACAGCCTCTTAAGAGCTTTAATTTTTCTATCTGCAGAATGGGGTAGTAATGCTTATACTACCATAAAGAGCAATGTAAATGTGTTATTTGTTAATTTTTAGTACATTTTGAATTTATTAGTCCATGACTTTCATACGAGGAATGAGAATAAAAATAGACATTTTGGGGGGTAGAGGGTACTGAATTCTTATTGAAAAAGAATATGTAAGTATCTAGATAAGAAAAACTCATTTTTCTTTAGAAATTAAAAATTGTCACAGCTCTTCTGGCCAGGATAATTTCATAACTCTAATGAAATGAAAAACTAAATGTGTCTGTTACTTTTTCTTCATGACACTTTCCCATATATCTTGCTAGTTAACCAGCTTAATCTTCCTACTTGCTTTCTTCCAGGAAGAAGAAAAGTGGGGATTGTTTTTTGTGAATGGTTTGTTTTCTCTGCCCTTTCTCTCCCCCTCACCTCCAAATATGATGAAAATCATTTAGGAGCATCTGTGAAGTATAATTTAAAGTACCTTTTAAGAAAAAATAAAATGTACCTTTATGATCCAGAGATATCAAGCCAAGTATGCTTAATGGAGCTGTCCAAGACCTTAGAGATCAATTTTCAGATGGGAAAACTGGAGTCCATGCTAAGTCCTAGCAGTTGTGCTATAACACTTCAAGGACTTATTTTCCTCACTGTGGGTATTCCTTTTACTGGTGCAGATTGCAATCCTTTCTTGTATTAATAGACAGTATTTGTGAGTTGTTGTGACTGAAAAAAGAATTGTCACCATGTAGACAAGCTTCTGGAGATAAACCTTACCAGAGCGGCAGCATGCTGTAGTGGACAGAACACTGGTCCTCTTGTCAGAAGTTTGAGTTTTAACCCCTTTGCTTACTAATTATGTGATCATACACTAGTATCTCTGAGTCTCAGTTTCTTACTTGTAAATGGGACTAATAATGTTTGTACTACATATAGGATATGTGATTGTCAAGTCTGTCATTGCTTTTATATCCATTCTACCTTTTCCATTCCCATTGTTGACTTCTCAGGATAGGCTCTCATGAATTCCCATCTGTACTGTTACAGTAACCTGAAGGCTTCCAAACTCCATAATCTCCTGCCTCCCGTCCATCTTCATATTCCTGCTATATTATTCTTCCTCAGTCCAAGTCTGATCTCATCGCTTGTCTGCTCAAAAACTTTCAGTGACTTCCTATTGCCCCTTGAATAAAATCCAGTTTTCCTTAGCCTGACATCCAAGGATCTCTACCATCTGGCAGTACTCTACTTCTTTATACTTGCTTCTCTCCACATTCCTTACACTTGAGCCAAACTGGACCCAACTCAATTAGCACCTGTTCCAAGAAGCCTTCTTTGATATTCCCTATTAGAAATTCATCCCTTCGACTTGGCATAGCATTTACTTACACCTCATTTAGATCTCTTATATACTTTATTACTTCAAAGATCCTTAATTTCATTACATATATTTAATTTTAATTATATTTTCTAAATTTTATAATATTAATTTCATTATAATATATATTCCTTCCACTGTTGCAGATCAAATCTTAGGGTCATTGATCTAGAACTACATTGTGAACCTTTGAGACCAGCTAGTCTAGCTCCCCCCCCCCTTCTATTTTCAGGAGAGAAAACAGGCCCAAGGACTTTAGGTTACCTATCCACGGCCAAATATGTATTGTCAGCTTGTGTAGATTACTACATATTCCATTTATAGGTGGATCCCATCTCACCAAGTCTCAGTGATATTCCTACCCTCACTCCCTTTTAAATCAGATATGTGATTTCTTTGATTTAAAGGGACATTTTCGTGAGGAAATTCCCTGCGCCAATGCAGATCAGCAACTATTCTGTAACTTGATTTGATTGTAGACTAGTCTGTTTCACTCAGGCTGCCAAGATGACTTGCCCTGAGTCACAAAGTATAGAAGTAGGACTTCAACCCTTCTTCAGCCTCACACTTTATATTTGAGAGTTGCTATGAGAATAAAAAAATCATGTGATAGAATTGCAGATTTAGAGTAAGAAAGGACCTTAGAGGTCATCTAGTTCGACTCCCTCATTTTACAGATCAGGAAATTAAAGGCCATAGAAGTGAATTGTCTGAATTCACAGTTATTAAATAGCAATTGAGGATTACAGCCCAGATTCTCAGACTTCAATTGTAGTATTCTTTCTTCTGTAGCCA